GGGGGGGGGGGATTACAGCAATGTATCAAATAATGCTTTGCTTGAAGATAGCTGAAAGAAAGAGGTGTTTTTTCCCAGTTTAAAAGACAAAGGGGAATTAAATACCATATAGGCTTATTCAGAGGCAAACAAAATCCTCGGGGCAAGGTAAATCTCCTGTCAGGATACAATCTTGAGTAAGGGCATTATTTGAACAGTTTCTTATAGAAGGCATAAAATCCTAATATTTTAAAAACAGGAAAGATTAAGCAAATAAAAAAAAAAATCTTGCCAATGTGTCTTCTTTTTCCTCACTTGGAAGGCAAGAACCCTTCTCAGAGCCATACTCTCTAACAGTACAAGTGGGTGAATAATGGTATAGCATGGTCCTGAATTGCACAGCCCCTCTGTGATCAATACTTTTGTCATTGCCATTACAGTCTAACACTACTAACTCACATGGAATTCAGAGCAGGGGCTTTAGAGATTTCTCCTGGCCAAGGAACAGTGCTGAGTGGGTTTGGTAGCTAATTACAGACTACTCCTAGGCAGTGTATCATTTACCTGCTTTATTCTGAAATGCTTGCTTCTAGGCATTGTTTGAGGCTTAAAATGGAAAAACATATCCATGCTTTAACATCCAATTTCCATTTTTGAGATGCCAGAGTTCAATTTGGAGCATTCAAATGATGATAACTGTCAGGATACTATATTATTTTCTTCTGACTGTTGCAGCAGAATGTCCTGACACTAAGGGTTGTAAATAGGGCCGTAGGAAACACCAAAGCTGGGAATCGAAAGGCCAGTGCAGACTGACCAAAGGCCTCTTTGAGCCTCACAGAAGTGGGGACATTTTCCTTGAAGAATTTGCTTCCTTTGCATCTTTCCTAGGTCATCATTATTCATTGCCTCTCCATTGCTGGCTTTCCCCCTTTCCATTTAATCACCTTGGTGTCTCTCATGGAAAATAGAAGTAGTACTTATAAGTGAGTTAGACAATGAGAGTTTGAGAGGTTGTTTTTTTTGCTTAAAAACCATTTCCTGGGATTACATGTCCATAGCTAGTGGTAGTAGTTGGATTATTAAGCTTTTTTCTTGTCCTCATCAGTTACTGTACTGGGTTAGTAGTGAGCACTGCTGCTCCTGGTACCACTGCTCAGGACCATTCCTCTCTAAGCGGTGTCCAAGCAATTCTGTGTCCTGGTTCCTGCCTGCCTCTGCCACCTCTGCTGTTCCATGGTCAGCCCATGGACAGACTTTGCTGGGAATCTGGGTGCATGGTGGCTGATAAGGGATACCCAGCTTACCACTGCCTTTGGAAGAGGATCTCCAGCTGTACCTGAGACCGTGAGCTAGTCACTCACCTGGGTCACAAGTCTTGTTTGAAAGCACACCCAGAAGATGATGTAGATGTTGCCAGTAATTCTTATCAGTCACTTGCTACTGTGAGGAAGGTGAGACTTATAAATGAATTGCATTCATAGCCTATTTTCTAGATTCTTTTTTCTCTGCTCAGCCGTGTGAGTGCTGGATTGGTCATTCAAGGTGCCATAAGAAAAACTGGATATCTTCTAGCCTTGGGTCCTTCTACTCCAAATGTCATGTCCAAAATAGCTGCATCCCCAAGGGGTTAGGTGGTGCCAAAGGAGACACAGATGGGGACATGCTTCATGTATAAGGTGATAGGTTTCCCTGGCATGTTTCCTAAAGACATAGCTGAAAATAAACCTCAGCTGATACAGAGTTACAACTACAGCATGCAATCTGAAAGGACTGGAGCAGCCTCATGGTCCTCCAGGTATCATTTTGGGCAAGTCTCTGAACCAAGTTTTCCAGGATATTTGAGTGTCCTTAAATTTAGGTGTTCCTGAGTACACTTCTGCTCTCAAAGTAAAGAAGGTCTGTGCATTTGCTCCTAACATACGGATAGTAGGGGTTCCCTGCTCATGGAAAAAAAACCCAAACAAAAGATTGCAGTATAGTCATATTTAAGGATGAAAGTAGTCATTTAAAAGTGACCTGAAGAGATAGGCAAATTGTTTCCCTGTGTTTTTCTCCATTGTGAAGATTCCTGTAGAACACATGATACTTTCTCCTCCACTGGAGTTAATCGAGATCATCTCCAGGCTGTCATTTCTATCACTGGTCTGGATTGTCCAGAACAGGCTAGTGGTTTGCCTGCCCAGAAGAGACAGCAGATGCTGCAACAGTCACTATGGCAGTTAAAGGTGCAAAAAACCTCTGTAATTTCTTGTGATGCCAAAGAGCTATCAAAATGACAGGATAAATGCACACAGACTCCTAGAAGTTTTGCTTACTACAGAGGAAAAAAAAAATTGCCATCTGCCAAAGATGACTTCAAATGTGGGGCCTTTGATCAGCTTTGATCCTGGTTTGCAGGAAGACAGTTGTTGCATCCTACTGGGGAAAGGAATCAGGGCTGAGCTCTCTAGGAGCTGCAGAAAGCAGGAAGACTATGGCAATTACTGACATGGCTTTCATCACTAGACTTTCAATTGAAAGTTCTTATGCCTTTTAACTTCAGGTGCATTCCAGAAATCACAACAGAAAGCCATTACAAAAAGAACAAACAAATACACTAATGGTATCAGATGGTTCATCCAACACGAAATATCAAGGCTCCTTTTAAAGGAAGCATTTCTCTCTTATTGACAACCCTGGTGACATTTAATGAGTTGTGTGAAGAAATAGGATCTTTAGCTGGTGCATTTGGTGTATTGGATTCAGCTAAGCTCCATCATTAGATGTTCTGAAGATAATTTGGCTCTAAATGTTATGCTGAAAATATCGAGTTATTTGATTGAGTTTTATGACAAGAAAACAACAAAGAAATTGCACGAGTTTTTTGGTAAGCAAGAGACAAATATTTGGGACCTAATGGTTCAATATACCCTAAAAGGAGTAATAGTTGTAAAGCTAACACCAGATACAGTTCTGCAATGTAAGACCTCTCAGAAGGTCAACTGTTGGCACATGGGTGACTGAGATGAAATATTATGGTTTCAAGAGCATTTGTGACAAGGACTGAATTTCTTCAAAGAGTAAGCTGAAAAACAGTCAGGAAAAGATCAGGTGGAATGCACAGAAAACAAAAGAACATAAAACTAAATAGTGATTTAGCAAAATAAAAAGCCAGTATATTTTAGTGTCAGTTAGCCACAAATCTTTTACTCATGCTGGAATGGTTATTCTTAGGGGTATTTAGCACATTTTTGTAGTTTAAGTTTTGAAATGAAAAGTTGCTTGGCCTTGAAAAGCAACAAAACTTCAACTCCCAATAGTGGTGTTTTTTGGAACAGGACTACAGCTCCTCACATGACCCTTGAGAATCACTGTGAAAACTCTATGGTCCCTTCCTTATACCCACCAGGTCTGTGGGGCACTACACTGACTGAGAACACAGCTGAAAACAGGGAGCTTTACGTGAAGACCACCCTGCGAGAGCTGCTGGTCTATGTTATGTTCCTGGTGGATATCTGTCTATGTAAGTAGCTGGCATATCTCATAGGCACCACGTCTGTGTGCAGTGTGAGGGGAATAATGTGAGATTTTATTAAAGTCTTCCTTGCTCTGATGTAAATGTTACATTTATTGTATTTCTCACAGCAGCAAGAAGTTGTCATTAACCTACAGAATTAATGCTGCTCAAGGAAGTAAAATTACTGATGAATGCCAACTGACATTGGTTAGACTTAAGTAGTATTTTCTGATTGGCATTTTCAGTTCTAGCCACTGACTCCACAGTCCTAGGAGTCAGTGCCCAATGTCTTTTCTCAGTTTCACAGCAAATGCTCAACACCCAGAGAGCAGCTCTAGAAACTTCCTGGTATCAAAGACAGTTCAGGGAGATTTTCCCCTCTGAGACTGGATGGGTGGCTGAGGTGATAAAGCAGATGGCAGTTCACCCTGTTGTTCTTGAGTGAATGTAATGTGTCCCTGTACTGAATGCTAATGCTAATAGAGACTTTATGTCAGTAGGACAATGGCTGTTTGGTTTTGCAAAGGTTCGTTCCTTATCACAAGTGAGCACCTGTGGCATGGGACAGTGAAGAGGGTTATATTTCATGGACCCTGTGGCAGGAGAGATGGACAGACAATACCACCCTAAGTTACTATCATGCTGGCCCAGGGAGACAGTCACTCCTCCTAAAGAACCAAGACACACACACAGATATACATGTTATCACACACTGACTCATCATCCAGGAAGTGTGGGGGGGGCTGTGTCTTGAATGTCAGGTGCTTTATTTTCCTGGTGTCCTTTCAAGAGCAGGACGTATTCTTAGTGATCACCATGATGGATGATTTTTCTGAAGGAAGGAGCACTGGAGAGTTGAAACAACATGTTTGTGGAAGTTAGAGCCTGCTCCTCTTGGAGTTTCTTGGTAGATGAAAACTTACTTGGAGCTTTGCACTTGGGAAAATAGGGGGTCTTTGTGCCTTCATGACTTCACATCAGAAATTCAAAATATAGATCACAGCCTTTGTTCTGAGAGATAAAATTTCCCTCAGAAATTTTGCCTGGAAACAAAAAAATGTTATCCAGAATGTTCAGTTGTATCCTCCAATGGTCTTCTATCACTACTTAACTTTTAAAGTTGGTCAGTCTGACCATTTAAACTCTGGAACACAGAGCAGATAAATTTGTATATCCCTAAGAAAGCAGAAAGCCCTAAGATTTCTTCCCCTGTGCCTTGTTCAGCTTACCTGTGAAAATATAAGGTACATAGAAAAATGAATATATAAATACATTTATATCAGACTCCAACATTTAGGTATAAGGAAGGATCCTCCTATTTTTCTCTTAGTGACATATGGAATGACAAGTTCCAATGCTTATTACTACACCAAAGTGATGTCTGAGCTGTTCCTGCAGACCTCTACAGATGGCCGTGTCTCCTTCCAGTCCATCGGCAGCATGGCTGACTTCTGGGTGGTGAGTACCAATCTGGCCTGCCATGGAGAGCCCTGAAACTCAGCTAGACTGGGGTATTCAGTTCTCTCTGAAGTACTATCTAATGATTTCAGCAAGACATTTTGCTGCCACAAGCTTTTGCCAGCTACTAGCGATAGTTACAATAATATTTGTGTGCAAAATATTCACTGATTTAAAGTATAATTTATCCCTGAGCACTGTGTTCAGAATATTGGCTAGGCTAAGTTTTGTGTGTGCCCAGAAGAGTCCATTTCCCAGTAAAACAGGCAGGACATAACAAAATAATTTTGGTGATAGAAGCATCAGCTCATTTCACAGATAGGAAGTACTGGACTAGAGAAGCCAAGGGATTTACTTCAGGTTTCCTTGTGATGCAAGTGGCTTTGAATCCTAGAGTTCAATATCTTCAAGCTGATGTCTTAGTAATAGCCTATGTCCATTTTCATGGCATTTTGAGAACATCAAAATTAACCTGCCTGTAATTCATGCCTGGGCTTGTCTAATCTATAGCTTCTTTTAGGAAGAAGTTGGAGTAAAATTTGCAGTGACTTTTAGCGAAGAAAATGAAGAAGGGGAAAAACATCTGGGGTCTAACATATTTCTGTCAAAGAATGGGTGAAAGAATGACAAGAACCTCAGTGAAGGCCATTGAGTTATTGCAACCACTTATCTCTGACAGCCAGAAATTATTTGTCAGTTACAGTTGCCTTTTTCTGTTGTATTAAAACACTCTGGCAAACAATGGCCCTATTGTTTCCCCACCATTTCCAGGACACTGGCACATGCACTTCTCATTGTTCGCAGCTTGTGCCAAGGCAATTCTGTGAAACGTGTGCTGACTGAAGTAGAAGAGACAATGAGACTCGTAGAGTTCTCGTCTCTTCATACGGCATAGAAGGTGCCACAGACACGTTACAGGCCTGTGAGAAGCCAACAGAGACCCTGCTACCTAGCATCCCTCCTCCATCCACCAGCCCTGCTCTTTCCTCTCCTTAACATACATGCAACACAAACTTCTACTACTTTTCATCCTGGGGACTGGAGAGGGGTGGGTCAGGTCTTCCTACCTCAATCCCAGACTCAGAAAATTCCTCTGATGCATGAGCTATGAAGGAGTTGCTCTCCTCTGCCTCCTTTGCAGTATGCACAAGGTCCCCTGCTGGATAATCTTTACTGGACAAAGTGGTACAACAACGAGTCCCTGGCAGCGCACAGCACCCAGTCATACATCTATTACGAGAACCTGCTGCTGGGTGTCCCACGCATGAGACAGCTGAAGGTGAAGAACAACTCTTGTGTGGTCCATGATGACTTCAAGGAGGAAATCTTGGGCTGCTATGATGTATACTCTGAAGACAAGGAGGAAAGGGTCTCCTTTGGGCTCATCAATGGAACGGCGTAAGTACATCTAATCCAAATTAGTCTCTTCTAGTTCAAATAAGAACTGCTGAGCTGAAGGATGCTGGGGGTGATTTTCTAACATAAGGCTGGAATTCCCCTTGCAGTCAGAGGCAGGAAGTCCTTTTTGTCTATAAATAAGGTCTAGTGTCTCTTTGTGGAGAAGAAAAACAGAAGGAGTTTTCATGTTGGGAAAGCCATGAAAAATCCAGTGGGAATATAGGAAGAAATTGTTACCTATTTTTGAGAAAGTGAGAATAAGTAAAGGCCTTTGGGGCCAGATCCATCAAATGGCAAGCTGGCATTCAGCTGGCAAGATACTATTTGCTTTCCTCTGGGATTTCAGGAGCCAGAGAAAAAGGAGTACATCCCTTTCATCTTAACAACTTGTTTCCCTATAATACTGTGAGGTAGCTACAGTTTAAAAACTTTGCTCACTGCATGAATCTTGATACATGAATGAGAAACTATTATTCATTAGGAAATATGAGTACAAGGGCATTCTAAGCAGATGGTTGTGTGTGATGTAGAAGGCAACAGAGCAGATCCTGAGAATAACCTCCATGAAAACAAGACTGATATAGCCAACAAACCTCAGAATTTTCCCTCCATAGTATTGCAAATCATGTTGTGTCACTGCTGGAAAGCACTAAACCAGAAAACTAACCATAATGGTTACCAATATTATGTAGGGTCAGATCAGGAGTAGGAATTGTGCCAATTCTTCAATTGAAAACTGCCCTTCCCCTTGAAGTTATAATTTTTCCTGCATACAAGGCCATATTCAAGCCTGGGCAGGTGAAGCCGTTCTTTGTGCCTTGTCTGTTGCAGGTGGAGGTACCATTCTGAGGAGGAGCTGGGTGGTTCATCTCACTGGGGAAGACTAACCAGTTACAGTGGGGGAGGATACTACATAGACCTCAAGATGACCAGAGAAGAGAGCGCTGAAGCCCTGCAAGTCTTGAAAGAGAAACTGTGGCTGGATCGGGGAACACGAGTTGTCTTTATTGATTTCTCTGTGTATAATGCAAATATCAATCTGTTCTGTGTTCTGAGGTAAGCTGAGTCCTGACAAAAATTATTCAGGCTCTTTCATCTTCCTCAATGCCTCAATTTGTTTCTTAAAATGCAAATATTTTATTATGGTCCACCATTGGGGTGGGTCTGAGTGGTGTCAGTAGAAATCGTATGGATTAGTGAGAAGTCTTGGTCTTCCTGAAATAACCAGTCACACTTCTTGTCACCTTCCACCCTTTCCTACCACAGGCAGTGAAGCAGGAGAGATGTGGATGCATAAACACATACACAACACTTCTGCTTGTGGTGGATATCTCATGCTCAAGTTTGATGCCTCTCAAAATTATCTCTGAGCCTCCATCCCCTAGTTTGAAATTGTTTCCTTGTCCCCTTCAAGGTTAGTGGTTGAGTTTCCAGCCACTGGTGGTGCCATTCCCTCCTGGCAAATCCGGACAGTGAAGCTCATACGATATGTCAGCGCGTGGGACTTCTTCATTGTTGCCTGTGAAATTGTATTCTGTGTCTTCATCTTCTACTATGTGGTGGAAGAGGCTTTGGAGCTCCGTATCCACAAGCTTCAGTACTTCACCAGCATCTGGAACATTCTGGATGTGGTTGTCATTCTGGTGAGGATCCTTGCACACTTTTTTTGGGGAGCAATGGCAGAGATGTATAAGAGCCAAAACAAATGAAGGAATGTGGAAATTAGTCTAAATAAGGCAAGAACTGGGTGTATGTTTTGCTCTAATACTAAACTGAACAGCAGAGTAAATTGACACATGCTCTTGTGTCTGGAAGAACTGCTAGGAGAAAATTCTTAGAGATGCCCAAGAGACTGTAAAGTCAGGGCATTCAGTACATCCAGACCATACTTCCATAGCCCACCAGATTCTGAAGTGGGATTCCAATGAGTTCTGTGACATTTTAATTTCCATGGAAAGTATAGGAGCAGTGGTCACTGCAGACTATTCCTCTTCCTCTTTGCAGCTCTCCATTGTTGCCATTGGGTTTCACATCTTTCGCACCACTGAGGTGAACAGGCTGCTGGGAGAGTTGCTGAAACACCCCGACACCTATGCAGACTTTGAATTCCTGGCCTTCTGGCAGACACAGTACAACAATATGAATGCAGTCAACTTATTTTTTGCCTGGATCAAGGTATTGTAGGGGGTCTGGGAGGTGCCAGGTCTCGAGCCAGGCCTCTCCTTCTGGATAGCCTGAGGGTTGTCTATTCCATCCCTCTGAGTAGATGTGTAATAACTATAGAACAGAGAATTTTCCTCAATTTTTGCAGTAAATTGCAGTAAATTCCTCAACTGTTTTGCAGTAAATCTGGGTAACTTTTCACCCTGCATTCTGAGGTCAGTTATTTGGAGATAGTCAGGGATATGAGTTCAGACACTGCAGTGTAAAAGTGGTTTTAGAAAATGCTGAGTACCATGAAACTTTGTCCATCCTGTACTATTTTGGTATTCTTGAGATATTCTTGCAAACCATGGGTTGTTTTTCATGATGGTCACTCCAGAGCTGGAAATTACTCATCTGTTGACATGGACTTTGCATTTCAGCTAAAGCATCTTGGTGTGGCAGAAAGCCATCAAGGGGTTCCTCATCAACATTAAAAGATTTGTCCTTGTAGCAGTTCCTGTTTATATTTTCCTTTGAGGGAACATAGTCATGTGTCTATGAACCCAGAGAAGGATGGTGGCACACCTGGAATAAATGTCCTGAAGACTAAGCCACCATTCCTAGCCAACTTTCCCCTCAATACTTTGGTCCTGTAGTGAGCCTCTTGTCTTAGTAAGCATGTGCATACATGAGAGAGATGGACCTAGCTGATGGTTTGGCCTAATTTTGTCCCCATTCTTCCATCCTGCAGATATTCAAGTACATTAGCTTTAACAAAACAATGACCCAGCTCTCCTCCACGCTGGCACGTTGTGCCAAGGACATCCTGGGCTTTGCCATTATGTTCTTCATTGTCTTCTTTGCCTATGCCCAGCTGGGTTACCTTCTATTTGGGACACAAGTGGAAAACTTCAGTACCTTTGTTAAATGCATGTAAGTGTGTAAGTTAGTACCATGTTTCTATAATTTTATCAAAATAATTTTAAGCGCTTTCTGCACTTCCCCCCAGTTGCAAATCTCAATGTCAATCAGACACCTGTTGTAGCTCACTCTAATAAAGCCACAATGGTTAATAAGTTGCTCACAGCCTTCTGGCTGTGACATCTTCATGGATGAAAGAACACAGTGAGAAAACTGAGGGAAACAGGCAGATTCCTGATTGTCTTTTGTTTGTCAGCAAGGACAAGAGGTATGATGGATATTGGTAAGGATATTGATTTCCATAGAAGTTCCATAGATACTGGTCAATATATCTGAAATGGAGGATGACCAGTGGGTGGATGAGCATGCATAAGAGTGTTGGGGAAGTGAGTTAAAATCCTGTCTCAGACAATCCTGCAGTCCATGGGCCTGCTCAAGTAATTTGTGATGTTAATGGAGGTATCTGCCACAGCAATTGTTTTCAGCTAGTGTTCCACAGACCTCTGGACATCCAGGTCCTGCCTTTGAGGGGTCTACAAGAGAAAACTGAGATAAGGAAGCTTTGGATCAATACTCTTGAACTTTCTTCATTATAGGGGCTATGAACTGCAAAAGGTTGAAGAGCACTGTCCAGTTTTAATATCCCTCCAGAATCTCAAAAAATCTCTTGCAAGAGATGGCTTTGTTGAGTCAATTGCCTTTAATCAGGGAAAATTCAAAATTTGTTTTTGCCTCCTATTTATAGCAAAACACACTTTGGACAACCTGAATTTGTGTGAAAACCACATTTTATTTTCCTCTTCCTCTAATCAGATCAGCTCGCTTCACCCCAGAAATACCATGGATGCATTTAACTCACTACTCTGGAGTGACTTAGACCCTGCTCTGGTTTGTGCCTGTGCCCATCTGGGCTGCAGGCAGGTTCAGGTTCACCTCAGGACTGTTTGCGTGTGCCTTTGTGTGACCCTGTGCTCTTTCTTTCCCCCAGTTTCACCCAGTTTCGGATCATTCTTGGTGATTTTGACTACAATTCCATTGACAATGCCAACAGGGTCCTTGGGCCTATTTACTTTGTCACCTATGTGTTCTTTGTTTTCTTTGTACTTCTGGTAAGCAACAGAGTCCTCCTTATCTGTGTATTGAAAGCAGTGTTTGAGAGACCCCTCCTGACAATCCCTGGGTTAGGTGCAAATGCCTAGAAAAGGTGTTTCAGTTACAATAGCTTTGCAGAGCAAATAGACCACAGTAAGCAAAGAGTGTGTTACTACAGCTGGGGATTTGATTATTAGGATAATTAAGGGCCAACATCTGTCAAGGTGAAGACTGAAACTGACTGGCTTCCTGGTCAATGGATGCAGAGGGATGCTCATAAAAACCAGGTTAAACACCCAATGTCAGGAGTCCATATGCAACCTAAGATTTTGCAATAGAAGCTACCAAAGATAGTATTTGAGGTGGAACAAATGTTCTTTCAGTCACTGCTTTAACTGCAAAAACTTAAGAAAACATGATTTGGCTGAAGTGGGCCTTTTCTTCACCCTTGCTAATATGCCCAAGAGAGATACCCCATAGGGAAACAACTCCTCATTTAACTAAGTCTTGCACATCTGTGCCTGTTTCTTTCTGCTTCAGCTGCTGGAGCAGGCAAGATGTCTCATGTATATTCATGTCACTTCTTCCCTCTTTCCCAGAACATGTTTCTGGCCATCATCAATGACACCTACTCAGAAGTCAAGGAGGAGCTTTCGAGCCAGAAGGATGAGCTGCAGCTCTCTGACATCTTGAAGCAGGTGATGAATAGTGAAAGCTGTGCTACTTTCTAGCTAAATCATGAAGCATTTTTTGGAAGTCCCTGACCTAAGTGGGATTTACTAGAGAGAAACAGTGGTGGCCAACTCCAGATCCCCCTTCTTTGTGTGCACAAGAGTCACAGTTCTTTTCTGGGATAAATCAAGCTCCCAGACCCTTTGGCAATGAGACAATGAGAAAGCAGGTGTTGGGGGAATCCTGTTAATTGATGTAGTGTCTCTGAGAGAATTTTCTTCCCAGGATGGTCTCTAGACAAACCTCTTTCAGTCCTTCATAAAATGTACTTTGATCAATGGCAAAGTCAGGCAGGCAATGGCAGGACATGGCAAAGTCCTGCTGTGCTAAGCTGAGCCTGTTAGAGTGGCACAAATCTAGAAGGCTAAATCTGTCTTTCCCATGGGCAAATTCCAGAAAAGTTCCTGGAAGGTCATAATTCTGCTGTGGGACCAATAATCTGCAAGGAATAGTATTTGAGATGTTATCTTAAACAGCTGATGTGTTGGGAAATCAGATAAAGGAAGAACTGGGATGAGAAAAGCAGAGGGTTAACGTGTTAGTGTCATTCTGAAGGTGTGATTCTGCTTTAGAGATGAGGTTCATACAGCACTGCTTTTTGGTTTTTTGCTTGTGGAAAGGACCTGGTACTACTTGGCATATAACTCACCTGTATCGCATTGTCTGCTCTGTTCTACTTTTCACTGTTCTGTGTGCGTGATTCTGGGTCTGTATCTTCGGTACCAGAGCTACAACCGGACACTCACGAGGCTGAAGCTGAAGAAGGAGCGGATCTCTGATGTGCAGAAAGCCCTGCAGAATGGAACAAAACAACTAGACTTCGAAGACTTCAAGAACAGCTTGAAGGAGTGAGTGAGTCAGTTTGAGGGATGCCTACTTGGTCCTTTCTCTTAGTAACATGGGTAATTTAAAATTTCTGGTTTTCAAGACAAGGAGAGCAGTTAGCTTAGATCTGGATAATTTAAGACTAAAAAAAAATAATTTTCTTTCCTCAAATGTTTAATTCCTTGTTCTAAATAGGTTTGTTAACTATCTCTTGCCCATTTGGGATGTTTAGATTTGTCACTGGCAGGAGGAAACAATACACTGATTTCAAAATTCCCACTCTGTTAGAGCTTAACAGTATAATTCTATGCTTTGAGCTTTCTCTTTCTATTCTTTTGCAGACTGGGCCATGCAGACCATGAGATCACAGCAGCTTTCTCCAGATTTGACAAAGATGGCAACCATATCCTTGATGAAGAGGAGCAACAGCAGATGAAACATGACCTAGAGGCGAAAAGGGTAAAAAAAAGGGAAAGGAAAAAAAATCATCTGTTTGGTAGACATCACTCCAAAGTGGCCTCAGGAATCTTTGGGTTTATGGTATAAACTAGGCAGGCAACTAAAATATAGTTCCAACTCTACCTGGATACAACTGAGTGTATTGCTGCCTGTGAAGCTCTGTGTTATTGACAGTAAAGCCCACCACAGAGTTAATATCTATATTTGCAGGAGTTTCTTCATTTTCCAGGTTGCTCTGAATACAGAAATTGAAAATTTGGGGAAATCCTATGGTGACAACAACATGGATGAGAATCTAACCTACATGGAAGCAAGGAATAACCACACCAATAAGGCCACCTGGGTCTCCAAAGAAGAGTTCCAAGTGTATGTTTGTATGCTGTCAGTAGTTTAAACACCCTGCAAATGAGGGGTCCAATTTCCTGCTGCTTCCTTCCCTGATGTAACTCTTTACAGTGGTGCTGAACTGATTCAGTAAGATCTTGTCCCTTTTATCTTGCACATGTGTAAATAAGCAGGTCAGGAGATAACTGGGACTGTTCTACTTAAGTAGTTTGCTAGTTCCTATAAAAGACTGAATTAAGAAATTTTGCTTTCTGCTGCTTGAATAACCTCTGCAACTGTCATCTACCCACAGGCAATAAATATACTGTCATGTTTCAGGTCAGAAGGTGGCCCAAATAACTGGGCCAGGGAAAGTTGATACCTTTACAGAAGGTCCTGTAGCAATAAATATCCTTGATTTATAGCCTAGTTGGCCTTTATCCTCCAGGTCCAAGAATGACATATTTCTTCCATAGGAGGAGCACAAGATAAACACAGCACATACAATCAGTATATCTTGATTCTGCTACTGAGAAACACTGGGCCATATCAAAGGAGAGGCAGGTGCAATATTTAATAATGGAATTATACTGTGTCTGGGCTGGGATTCATCCTAAGCAGAAACACTGATTACAGATGAAAACACGGTGTAGTATGGAGCTATGTCATCAGTAGGTGTGAATCAGTGATCTGGGAATATTTGCTTCTGTTTGAGGTCTCTGGGAGATGTCTGCAGAAACTCCCTTTATTCATCACATGTAGAAGCTTACAAATGCTCTCCATGTCTCCCTCAGCCTCCTGCATCGTGTGCTGCAGCTGGAACATTCCATAAACAGCATTGGCTCCAAGATTGATGCAGTGGTGAACAAGCTCAATTTGCCAGAAAGAAAAGAGCTGAAGAGGAAGGATCTGTTGGGCAAACACCTGGGTGATGTTAGCAAGGTTGGTAGCCCTCCACCATGGATTTGAACCAGCTTCAGATCAGGTGACCAGCTCTGCTGGGAGAAAGGGCCTGGTATCATCTTTGCTTTTCCAATCTTTGTTGATTTAAGACAAAAAGGCTTGGGCAGGATCAGCATTTTGTTTAGCATGATGATCAATCCTTTTCTGTTTAAGCAAAATGACACAAGCCCTTTTGTTTTCATGTCTGCACAGTTAACCCTAGTACCTTTTAAACACACTTTCTGGCTCCTTTGTGGCCAACCTCAGTCCTGTGGCAGTGCATAAAATTTGCCTGTCTTCAGTTGCTTTCTAACTCAGAAAGTTAGAACAGAAAGATGTCTGTTCATCCTCAGATACTGAAATGATCAAACTGTCCTTTCCAGCAAGACAGCTCATGGCTGTTGTGGACTGTGATCTTAACATCTTGCCTGTGGATTATTTATCAGACATGTGGTGGTTATCAGTCAGCTGTGTGCTTATAGGATATCACTGCAGAATTATGACTTTTGCCAAAGAGTGCCCATATTGAGTGAACCAGTGTATTTTGGATCTTCAGCCTTACAGTCAAAGGCAGCAAGGCATGTGGGAGCCATGTCACTACTTCATGGTTTTGTGGCTTCAATAATGAGAATAGCCAAACAGCACAAAGTGACCTAGAAGAGTCAGAAAGAAGCCTCTCTTTTGCAGAATAGTCTTGTGATCCCTTCCCCTCTGAAAGAGTGTTTTGGGAGGTCCTGCTGCTCATGTGAACATGCCCAAAGTCTTACTCAAGTATTTGTTTGCAGATTTGCTTTGCCACAGTATTTCTGTGAATGTGCTTGTAAAGGATGAAAAGGAATTAATCTCTCCTTTTTGGTCTAAAACTTGAATGTGTATTCATTAGTGTATTGCAGCTGTGTATTGGGTCTTTAATAGACAGCCAGGCTTGTTCTGAGAGAATGTGGGAAGATATTTTAGTATCACGCACACCTTGCCTCTCTCTTGGAGTGTTGCTAGACTTCCTGGTAGCTTGCTGACGTTGCAGGTCACACTTTCTTCTTGTTCACAGGAGGAAGAAGCCGGTCAGAAAGAGCTGCACCCCCAGAGCCTAGACCAGCTGGGGAAAGAAGAAGCAGAAAGTTGGACAGAACATGTACAGAGAAACAACCTGAGTGGCAACTCTTCCCAAAATGGGGTCTATCATATCTTGCCTAAGTCGAGTGTGCTGGGGTCTCAGGTGCCCAAGAACCTCTAGCCAGTCTGATGTGCATTTCTATAGCAGTGCTCAACAGCCCAGTGCTCCCAGTCTGGCTGCCATAGTACCAAGTCACTGTCAGTTGTTCCCTCACTGTTAGGACAATCCAGACAGCTGGACACAGACAGCACTGTTGTCAGGAGCCCTTAATGTGAAAAATCAGGGATGCTCTTCTCCAGTGTAATGATGTATCATGTCACAGAGCTAGAACTTCTGTCCCACTTCACCTTCTCCCCTGTACCCATATCTCAGGCAGAGGTAAAATTTGGCACTAGGTGATGTATTAGATTTCTGCCTCTGAACAGGCTGGCACAGCATCATGTATCTAGCCTTCCCCAAAAAGTAGGGACCCCTGAACTCTGAACATTTGTGTATATATACTAGTATATATATATATATAATAACTAGTTACTAGTATATATATATACTAGTAACTATAATTACTAGTAGCTATAATTACTAATCTAGAATAATTACTAGTGTAAAATGGGAAGAAGAAATCTAGTTGTTTCTGCCTGGTTACAGCCAGTTTTGTTCTGTTGTAGTTTGTCTCCAGATTACCTTGGTAACCCTCTCTGTACCTTAGATTCAGGTGTTTAGGAAAGAGGTTACTAGTGCTTAACTCTGGATAACTACAATAAGAGTTGGCACCAGTGTAATTGGGAGAAAGTCTGAAATATTCTAAAATGAGAAGCAGTTGGTAAAGTCCTAGGTCTGAGTGTTAGGGAACAAACTTCTGGTTATATGATTTCTAACATAGCTGTTGACACTAAGAAACCTTTGTCATTCATTTTCACACTTCTTAAATTGCATCTCAAGATTCTTGCACCTTGCAAACTAGCACCCCATTTATGAAGTTTGATGCTTCTTGTTTTTGTCAAGGAAACAAATTTGCAGTTATGGGTGCTGACACCATCTACGTTGAAGAATATTGTGAAAATGAGATGTGTCAGTTTTTTTGACCACATGCAAGATAACTTCTTTTCTAAGCATTTTTCTGTTTGCTGAGGCTTGTCTTTCCTTGCAATTGGTGCAGACTATTGCTGCTATTACAGGGACATTGTAAATATATTTCAAATACCTTAATCACTGATATTCTGCAATAGTTAACCTAGTTAACCTCAAATAGGCTCTGTAGGCTTAAAGCCAATAGAAATGTGAGCTGTACCAGACCACTGCTAACAGCTCTCATTAGTGCTACACTGTTTAGTGTGCTGTGCAGTGATAGGTTTAGTGGGGGACTTGTGCAGGGGCATCTTGTATTGCTGCCTTTTTTAAGATGAATGTGTCACTGCATTCTGGGGAAAGCCTCTTTGGCAATGTCTGAAGGACCTCAGGATGAGCCCTGTCCTCAGATGGCCCAGGTGTCAGGGCTGCCACAGCCACAAGATAGTCTTGATAAATTGAAGCAGTGTCATTCAACTACAAGGGCCCAGCAGGAACTGGGAGAAGCAGCTTGTCCAGCTCACAGGGAGCTTGGATTTCAGACAGGAGCTGTGGAGGCAGGAACTACAGGATCTCATGACTCACTTCCCATCATCAGCTGGTCCTGCTGTTGGGGACAAGACTTACCTGTGAGATATTGCCATGGTGCTTGACCCTCAGTTCCACTGAATTCAGAATTGAGCAAGATGTCTTACCTTCAGCTTTTCTGGCTGAAAAAAGAACAATGGTGTTCCTTACTTCCTCCTCCTCTCTGCATTGAAGCTGTTATCTTAATCAGAAGAAAACAGCCTGTCAGGAGAACTTCCTGAAATAGGCTATTTTCCCCCTCCAAATTCTAATTAAACAGAAAATTCATATGCTAAATTGTAATTGAACAGAGGAACATTTCTACTCTATAATAGGCTTAAATAGTGCACACAGCCCTTTGTAGTCAATTCATCAGGTCTTCTGTACGTTGAAAGGCATAGAAGAAGTTTCTTACAAATTAATTTGTAAGATCTTGTTTTAGATCCTGGCTCAAGAGCAGACTATGAGTACCAAGGCATAATTGCAAAGTAAGAAAAAAATTGCTGTTTGAGTTCTCTGAGGGTCTGCCTTATCCATGAACTTAAATTACTGGATGAGATTCTGAGTCTGTATTACTGCACAGATATTAAATGCTTGGGATGCTGATCTTTTAGGAACTAAGTCTGGTACTTTAGGAGAAATCCAAGCAGCAGTTGTCTGCTTCAGGTGGTTGAACCTGTGCTAGTAGCCAGTGTAAGATATGTTGCTGGCTGAGGCTGAGCTCCTTAACCTAGAAATAACTACTGTGAGGATAAGATGACCCTGAACTCAGGTTTTGCCAAGAAAATGAAGGTAAAACCTAATATCTGTAAGGCTTGGCTTTACAAGGCCTCAGATTTCTCACAAGGGATAGTGTTGTTTAGCTGCTCTGTTCAACAGAGAAGGTGACTCAGAACCTCCCTTTCTGCATTGCCCAGTGTTTATTTTCTGTTCCCCTTCTGAGCTGTGCCAAACCCCAAGAGCAGCCCCACAGATAACCTCCCACTGAGGCAGGGATGCTGCAGCCACAGCAGCACAGCCTAAGAGCCATGCCTGTCACTACACACCAGAAGATAACCACACCCCTGCTCCTTTCTGCACAGGGACTCCCATAACTATCAGTAAAGGCAGGTGAAGTGCAGAGGTGTGAGAGCTGAACTCAGATCCATGGGACAGTGACCAACAGCACCGGCAACCAGCTCCCAGGCACTGAGTCAGCTCTTTATGGCAGCAGGAGGAACAAAAATGGTAATGTTCACGTGCAGTGTTTGTTCATGTCTGAAACTTGGGAAGGCAGTTTTCCTCTGCAACTGGAGAGCATAGGAGTCTCCAGAGGACCACTGCAGCTGGGAGAGATGCCTGCGTCTCATTCTACCTGTCTCTGGTAAATGTGGGAGACTATAGCTCAGCTTGCCAGGGCTCTCCCTTTCTCTGGCAAGAACAGCCTGGCAGCTTCCTCTCCACTGGACTTGGGGGACAGCAGTCAGTCTGCAATGTTGAGGAGCCCTAAACCAGCTCTGGCTGTGATCAGACAAGAACTGCAGGCTATAGTGGTCTCCCAGGTCAGCTCTAATCCCCTTCCTGGCAGAAAGACCAGTTGCCCCTGTACTGTGATTTTAGTAGTGCTAGTGCTTCTCAGTGTAAAACAACTTCTGTTACTGGCATGTGCCCATGCCTGCATTATTCTTGTATTTCTTGTACATCTTCATGCCACTGTGCCTTGTCTGTTCTTCGTTTATGCTGTCATGTGTATGATGTGTCCTAGAGCAGGCATGGAAATTACTTGTTCCCAGTATTTGCTTTTGTGCAGGTGTCAATTGTGTTTTCAAGCTGGTTGAGAAATAACATCAATATGCCAAATGGTAAATTCATACAGCTTTTCTTTTCAAATACGTGTTGTCAGGCCTCCCATCAGGAGCTAATATTACTTAGATAATACGTATCTGATGGGTAAAGTATTTGTTCCTCAAAACAAAGGAGTGTGATCGTGTTTTGTTTCAATCTGCAGAGGGTAGCCTTCCAAACTGCACTGTGCCAGCTGTGCCTTGAAGTGGTTAAAATCTTTGGGAAGATGTTTAGAAAAGTATAAAGTGCTTTGAAGATATATCAGCAGTTATAACTGTGAAAAACAAGGTTCACTCTCCTGGTAAAATTTAAAAGGTTTAATAAAGACAATAAGAGACATAGATTATAATAAAGTAAAGAATAACAGCCGGGTGCTTGGCGCTCTGCCAAGAGCACATTTGGTGTTTCAGGAACACCCTTTATATACCATTTCTATTGCATCACCTTAATGCATATTCAGACTTTTCCATTAATTAGTTTATATCTTCCAGGAACTATTTTGCATGGCCGCTCCTTGGATCCGCCTTTTTAGAGCATGGGCATTTCTTGGCTTGCAGTTTTAATTCCTTTCTTGTCATCTTTTAATTTGGGTTTTGGCTCCTGCTCTCCACAGGCGGTGAGTGTTGATAGCAGCTAGGTCCCATCATCTGTTCACTGGGGTTATCCTAACTGGGCAGGCAGTTCAAACATACTATATCAACTATTACCAGTTGTGCCTAATTTTTTGCTAATAGCAGGAGAGACGAAAACTACATTCACACAGCAAAGCCATTCAAACATTATACATATAACATTCATCTTAATACTTGTGAAAAGCCAATATTATGTATTTATACCATCACTGTTATTTATGTTGGCAGTAGCAATGGATGTGGTGGGAAGCCCACTCTGGCAGGTGCTGTGCGTGCTCCTGATTTAGAGCCAAGGGGGAAGGAAGCGGTGTCCTAGCCGTGATTTCAAAGTACAAATGAGGCAGAGACATTCACGGATGTGTGCAGGGAAGGGCATGGCAGTGATGTCTGAGAGGAGGCTCAGGCATCTGGCAATAAGCAGCCCCAACCAGCCGTGGTCATCAGCAAGAAAAGCTCCTGGTCGTGCCTCTCCAAGAACATGATGCCATAGTCTTAACAATGAGCAAGCCTAACTTTTCATGTGTTCATTTTATTTTATGTGTTCAAGGAAAAAAATACACAATACACAAATGCAGCCAAGCTTCTAGTTACTTATCAGCCTGTTTTGGTTTACCAGTAGATGTCAGTCAGCACTACTTACAACTCTTTGCACCTACAGTCCCTTCTCTTCCATTTTCAATGGACAGAACAAATCTGTCATTTGTTTTATTGAGAGGAAACTGAGATACAGAAACATTCCCTTTGTGGTTACAGAGAAGACAGAAGCAGAATCCATGGCTTCCAAAAGGTAATTTATGTTACTAGACCTTCACACTTGAGTATTTGTTGCAAACTTTATCTCAGGCAGGTTTTAATTCTCCCTACAACCTGTAAAAAGGGGTTTTGTACAGGTTTTTCTCATTTTCTTCCAGTCTTGTGAAAAGTTTTTAATGAGTGCTATTATTAGTGTGGAGCTGCTGCTAACTGCTCAATCTTAAGCACAGAAGGTTGTTAGCTGGAGGCTGCCCTGCCCGTCTGTTTTACAAACTCACCCTAGCAGGAGTCACAAAGAAAAGAGGAACATCAGTGAACAACTATCAGTATTCAGAGTTTATCAGCAACTAATGAAAAAGGGAGGGGAGAAACCAGCACTTCATGAGCTAGCCGATTACAAACCCAGATGATGTGTCATCCTTTTGCTGGTCACAGAAACCCTAATTCCAGGTCTCCAAACATGAAAGTAAGGAGGCTGGGAGTGCGAGAGCAGTAAAAGTAGGAGGAAATTCAGTGAGTACCATGTCCAGCCCCCACTCCGGGCTCAGCAGTTGAGGGATATGACAACGTGAATGTGCTGGGTTTTGGGGAGACATGGAGCGGGTATGGCCCTGCTAATGGCCCCTTTTCAGAGGTGGCAAATGCCAGGCGTAGCTCATTGCCAGCCAGCCATGCTGTATACATGCCAGGCACTCAGGCAGGTGACAGAAGGGTGCCGGCCCTGCGGGGTGCGGTGAGATAAAGCCCAGCCCTGGATGAAGAGTGCTGAAGGAGGAGTGCAAAAGTTCAGTTGACAAAACAATATCTGCTCAGCGCTGCGTCTCCAGCCTGAATCAGCCAGCTTGGCTGGGGCGTGCCATAGCAAGTTACCAAGACAGCCTGTGTGCATGGCAGTGACAGGGCTCTACAGCACAGGAGGTCCCAGACAGCTCTGGATGGTGCTGTTTCCTGGCCACTGCCATCCCCAGAAGATAGCAGTTGATACTCTGATGGTACACTCACCTCTAGGTGCCAGAAGGCACAGCAGCCTAAGAAACAGCCACTCAGAACAACATGCAAATCAGGAACCTGAAGCTGGTTTTGCTTGTGCTGCCTGAGAAGGGACTGGGAAGGCATCTCAAGTGATCATTTCTATTGGCTGTGAGTCTCCATGGGGTCCCCTTCTGCAAAAATCATCAGAAATAATAGTAAAGGGCGAGTTCAGAGAGCAAAACTCCCTATCTGTGCGCACATACACCTGCAGACATATTGCTGTAATGTTGCAAACCACCCAGGTTGTTCAGACATGTCTGGAGTTCACAAAGACAGCAGGCTTTGAAAGCACATATAAGCTTTCAAATATTATTATATTATATATATTATATATATTATATCTGGGAAAGACAAAAGGGCAGAGCTTCTTCTCAGTTTCCTATTTTCACATTTTCCAATTGAGAAGCGTTACAGCAACAAAAGATGGTATGCTTTCTGAATCCTTTCAGGAAAACTGCCTCTTCTGCCTCAAAGAGTTTTATTCTGTTCAGGCCCAGGAGCAGCCATGCCACCAGCAGGCATTCTTTACCATGAAGAGAATAGAATGACCTTATTGTAAAACAGAACAGATTGTACTTGCTTCTGTTCTCTTACCAAACACTCATGAGGAAGGAGAGCTATGCCCAAATGAACTGTTCAGCAATTGGGCACCATGACCTATGTCCAGGTACTGTGGTCAGGGTTCTTGTCATGACACAGAACAAAGAACACCAGCTAGAGACCTCTCATGTCTCCTCCATCCTTAGCCTGGTGACCATGGGTTGTTTATGAATGTGTGTTTTCACATGCTTTAGGAGATGACACTGTTCAATTTCTTGTCCTGTCCCTCCTCTGTGGGTCATTAAGATTTACTCATTGCCCCTTCTCTTCCACTCAGATTGCCTGGAGGAGATAGATGTGCAGCTGCCCTGGTGAGAAGCTAAGCTCAGTGAAATTAACACTTGCCACTCTGGTGTTCTACACCCAGACTCTCACTCTCCATCCAGACCTACCTTGGCATTTCTCACATTCCCCTGCCTCTCCTGATCATGGAGAACTACCTCCAGCCCTAGGACATCTCACTGGCCTTCAGTGGCTCCTGGTGACTCTGGGCTCCCTCTGCCCCTTTTGCATGCACTTGTCATCTCCACTTACATGGCCATTTCAAACATAGGAGAGAAAAATTAAGTTTGGAGAGGAGCAGAACAACACAGTCAAAGAACCTGAGATGCCCTGGCCAAGACAAACTCCAGGCACTGTCTTTACTGAAAAAGCCAAATCTAGATGAGTTGGGACACAGTGGAACATAACCAGTGAGGCCAGATGGAAAGCGAGTACAAAGAACTCTGACCTGAGTAGCTTAGGAGTGTTCTGCTTTTTCCTGTGGCATTACGGGTGAGTTGTGCAACCAAGTGCTTCCTTCTTTTTGTTCTCCTCTCTCTTACTGTCTTCATCTTCAAGATGAAAAACCAAACAGTTAGTCTGGCTTTCTGTTTTGCATTATCTTTGATAACACTTGCTACCTAGTGATTCCTTGCTTTCCTTCCTCAGTTCACTTCTTTATAAATGTGATTTTCCTGCAGTCTGCAGCAGAGTAGGGGACAGCTGAGATTTCTGAGTCTTTGCACTTTTTCTTTCACCTACTGTGATGCTCTGCCCTGTGTCATGGCACAGTAGTTCTCTGTCAAGGTCATATAGCACTGGTGGGCCTCTAGGAAGGCACAAAAGAAGGGAAGATTTATGGGTGAGACAGAGCTACTTTCCTAAATCTCCTTCTCCAGAATGCAAGCTGTTTGCTGTAATGGTTATCTTGCAGTCTTACTGTTGTGTATGGTCCCGTCGGGGAAGAACACTCTGCAACTCTGGCTGTACAACACCTACTGAAAAAAAAAAATAAATCTGAAAGTGTTCAGGGCTGCCACAACAAATCCTAATGGCAGCAGCTCAGGCCTTGAGAGTGGATGAAAGTTAAACTGTTTTTAGGAATGTCTCATAGGGCAGCCTGGACTTTGCTCCTGAGGAAGGAGGTGAAATGCCTACGTAACAATGTGTATGTCAACATTCATGTCTAGCAAGGGAACTGACCTCTGCAGAGCTGAGTTGGGACAGATAAAACACAGTTTAATCCTGTTAGCCTCCTGCAGGCACTGAGGCCCTCAAAAGGGAAGCAGAAGGATGGAGTGCCCATTCCTGACTCACAAATAGCAAGACAAACTGTACTTGAAGGAGTCCTGCTCAGGAGCTTGGGTTGAGTATGGGAGAAAATGGTACTGGGGATTGTGTGTTGTGGCCTCAGTGCTTGGTGCACTTCTTGGTCTGAAGTCCTAGGCTTTGTCCCAAAGGCTTGAGAACACTGTAGGGGCAGTCGTGACTGGCATCTCTTCCAGACCTGCTTGCCTAGAGAGGACAAGCTTGCTTTCTCCTTAGCAGGCTCCTGAACACAGTACTAACAGCAGCAAGTAGGAGCGATAAAAATCTAAGCATTTATGATGTCATCTTTTTAACTCCTGAAGAACTGTCATGGTGGTTTAGATGCAGTATGTACTGTATCTATGACATCCTTGGCTGATTACTTGCTTTACCAGGTAATACCAGATTATACCAGATGTGTGTAATTCTGTTGGTCCTATAGTTCAATTGTTCATGATTTCTGTCAGAATGAAGCCCATGATATCTCAGTGTAGTGTACTAGTTAAATACTGATTTCCT